TGTATAGAGAGGTGTGAGGGTTTGTATAGGGGTGTGAGGGTGTATAGAGGTGTGAGGGTGTATAGAGGTGTGAGGGTGTGTATAGATGTGTGAGGGGGTATGTCAGATGAAGCTTCAGAATCCTTACCTCCAAAGAGCAGCCTGGTTTAACCCTCTCCCGGATGAACCTGTTTGTTTTTTTAGCAGTCCATGGTATATTCAATACTTTTCTCCAGCACCACAGCTCAAAGGCATCAATTCTTCTTCTGTCCTCCCTAGTCACTGTCCAACTCTCTGATGTATAGCAAGTGATTGCAAAGACCATGGCCAGTATCAGACACACCTTAGTCTCCAGAGTGACATGACACCATTGCTATTCAGTACTTTGGAGAGGTCCCCAACAGCAGACTTGTCCATCGCAATATGTCTTTTTAAAATCTGTGTCTAACGGTGTCACTCTGGAGACTAAGGTGCGTCTGATACAGGCTATGGTCTTTGCAATCACTTGTTATATATCAGAGAGCTGGACAATGACTAAGGAGGATAGAAGGAGAATTGATGCCTTTGAGCTGTGGTGCTGGAGAAGAGTATCGAATGTACCATGGTCTGCTAGGAAAACAAACAGATTCATCCGGGAGAGGGTTAAACCAGGCTGATCCTTGGAGGCAAAGATTCTGAGGCTTCATCTGACATACTTTGGACATGTTGTAAAGAGGGACCAGTCCTTGGAGAGGGACATCATGCTTGGGAGGGTGGAGGGACGGTGCAGAAGGGGAAGACCCTCTACGAGGTGGATTGATTCAGTGACTGGGGTAATCGGGATGGGTGTCAGAGGGCAGGAGCCGGAAGCTTGAAGAGGTGCCCATCTTCCCCAGGGTCCCAGATGGCCGGGTCTGGCTTAGTTCTGCATGCAGGGTGATCTGCCTCCAGACTCTAACCACAGGGGTATGTGGTTCTTCTCCTGTCTCAGTGAAAAGCTGCACTGATACAGAGACATGGTGAGTTAAGAGTGCTTCCCCTTCCACATAGAAAACCCTAATGTCATCGAGTTGTTTCAATTCATAGCTGCTTCATAGGACAGGGCAGAATGTCCCTGGAGAGTTTGTAAGACTGTAACCTTTAAGGAGGTAGACTGCCACTTGAATATCAGTTAAGGTGTTTCAGCAAACAGATGCAGCCCCCAGATATACTCACCAGTAGTGCCATAAATCTGAACACAGTCACTCGGCCAGCTGACTAGAGGAAATCCAGGTCTGTCTCATTCCAGAAAGGTTATCCAATAAAGTCTAAAAATCGCCGATCACTATCATTTACATCGCACTCAAGAAAATCTTGCTGAAGATTAACAGAAGACAACAGAATGGCCAGAAGCTCAGGACGGATTCAGAAGACCCACCCACACAACAAGGAATATCTCTGCTGATATCTAGTGGAATTTAGCTAAAAGCAGAGAAAGATGTTGACTTGTGCTTCATTGACCATGAAAAATCAATATGAATCATAATAAATTAATTATGAGTCGCATTGAGCAGGATAGGAATTCCAAAATCCTTACTTGTACTTATTTGGAGTCTGTATATAGATCAAGAAGCAGTCAATCAAACAGAACAAGAGAATACTGCATGGCTTACATCAGGAAAGGAGTCTGTCAGGGCTGTATTCTCTCTCCATAGACCCTCTATCTGGATGCTGAGAAAATCATTCAAGAGGCTGGACTTTTTAAAAGAGAGAGAGAGAGAGAGAGAGAGATTGGATCTGACTGGTACAGGAGGAGATTGTCTCTCCTTCTCCAGCAGAGCATCTGGTGGATTCAAACCACTCTCCTCTGGAATTGCAGTGCAACTTCTTGCCACTAGGCCACCAGAGCTTGCCAAGGCTGGACTTTTTGAAGAAGAATGTGCCATAGGATCAGAGGAAGACTATAATCAACAGCTGGTATTATGCAGATGACCTAGCCTTGCTTGCTGCAAGTGGAGAAGCACTTACTGAAGAAAATCAAAGACCACAGCCTTCAAAATGGATTACATCTCAGCCTCAAGAAAACAAAAATCCTCACCATTGGACCAGCAGGCAGCATCAGGACAGACGGAGAAAAGATTGACACTGTCAAGGATTCAATCCATAATCAACACTCAACACTCGTGGAAGAAGCTGTCAAGAAATCAAGCCATGCCTTCCACTGGACAAAGCTGCTGTCAGGACCCTCTTTAAAATGTCCAAACACGACAATGTCACGTGAAAGAGTAAAGGGCTCCTGACCTGAGCCAGGCAAGTGTCCACGAATGTGATGAAATGAGGAAATGCTGTGAGCGACCACACTGCCGCAGAGACAGAGTGTGCATGTGCCAACAAGCGTGTTCAACGACAGTTGTCACAAATCTTTAATTTGGAAAAATACCCCAAAAATCTGTGATGTGAAATAAAGCTAACCATAATAAAATGAAGCCTGCTTGTGTTACAGAAGCAAGGCTGTCATGTCAAAGGTTCGGCGCTCCACGGTCACTATCAGTGCGTTTTGTCTGACGACCTGTGACTCTGACCTGCTCCAGGCAGTAGATGAGGAGCCCAGAGACATGAACACCCAGCACACAAGCAGGCCTGCGGGGCCACAGGGGGCAGGGAGGCCACCCAAGGACAGCAGGAGTGGGGAGGAAGTGAGGACCGGGGACAGCAAGTCAGGGAGCGGCTGGAGCAGACCAGGGACTCAGCGGCTGCTTGTTTCTGGAGGTTTAAATCCTCCTGCAGCTCTGTGAAAGGAAGGTGGACGGTTTCCTGGTCTCCCTCGTGGGATTTACAGCCCCGGACAACACCAACAGAGTGGACAGCAGTGAGCTGAGTGAGTGAGCGCACGCAGACACGAATCCCCGTGGAGCAAATGCCAAAGCTTCCGCCACAGAGGACAGTGGCATCAGTGCCAGCCACGTCCGAGCTGAGGCGAAAGGCAAACTTGGTGACACCCACCCTGTCTTTATTGAAAAGTTCCCATTTGATTCGTTGTGGATACGTTTGCGTCTGTTTTCACTTTTAAAAACCTTCCGTGAAAAAGTCATCTCTGGTGTTGTTCGCATTTGTTGGTGCCCCTTACATGTGTCACCCTGACCAGTACCTTGAAGAGGAGCTGGCAGTCAGAGACCAGTGACCGGCAGAGCGCTGGTCACTGGGGCCACCACTAGGGGCAATGCCTCCCTGAGTCCACCCGTCTGTCCTGGGCCAGGTGGTCCTCCACCTGGTCCTCCCTTGGTACTCGCACCCTGGCATCAGCCCTGCACTATGTGGCTGCCTCCCAGTCTGACTTTGGCGTGACCCCAGGCTTGTCCAGCTGCAGACAGCCCACCCCAGGGCCTTGTCCAGAGGTTCAGCTCCTGCGACTCCGTGTCTGCCCAGCAGGGGGCGGCGTGGACACGTGCATGTCCCTTACCTGCAGCCTGAAGGTATTGGGGGTGGGGGTGGGGGTGGGGGAGGCACATTCTCTTTAAAAGAGCAATTTTAGGTTTACAGGAAAAACGTGCAGGGAGTGCAGTTCCTCCAAGCTCCCCCTGCACGCACTGTTAGTAATCCTTGGCATTTCCAAGGTCCATTGGTTATAACTGAGAACTGTTAACTAAGAACATAGTTGACTATGCCTATCCTTCACACTGGGGGCCTCTCATTCACACTAGGGGCCTATCATTCACACTAGGGGTCCCCCCCAGGTTGTGGGGCCCCACAGGCACTGAGAACTGTGCCCACCGTGGCAGCGTCACACGGTTTCAGAGCCCTGAGAACTTCAGTGCGCAGTCTCATCCCCTTCTTACCTGGGGTCATTTTCCCTGCATGTTTATTTCTTCCTTGCAAGCATCCCCAGCCTCCCCAAGGTGATGGAGCTGACCGGTTTAACTTCTTGCTGCAGGGACTCTGCTTCTGGAGAGAGAAAGGAAAAAAAAAAAATCAGCGTTATACTGGTGGCAAGCAGCACTTTCCCCTTGGATTTTAAATTTTTAAAAGTAATATTAATTAATTTATTAATATAAAATTATTTCCATTCACTACCAGATTAACAGTGATCCAATAGATGCTGAGGTGAGGACAGATTCAATCCACGGAATAATTACAAGCAAATCTTCTCAAACACTTCCATGGATGTTTCTGCAATTTAGACAGGAAGGAAGTTCTGGTTTATAAATTCATTCTAGACTGTCTGTCAGGTGCTGTCAAGGTGAACAACTATAACTCACAGCAACCTTAAATGACCAACAGGTCTGAAACTGCTCACCTAAACCCTCCCATGACCTCCATCATGCTAAAAGCCCATTGTGGTCATCACTGTACCCATCTGTCTCACTGAAGGTCTTCTTTTAAATAATAATAATTAATAATAATAATAATTTTAATGAAAATTTAGAGACTTTGGATTTCCATTCATTCATTGTTGCACTTTTCTCCCTGCCCACCCCTCTCCCCAAGTTCACTCTTCTCTTTGAAAAGAAAAATTCTTTCATTGTTATACAGTCCCTCCTCTCCACGTTCATTCCACTATGCAGCCTTTGCTCTAGACTCCTGTCATGATAATAATACCTAATCACATATCCCTTTTAAACAGTTTTCTCCCTTATCTGTTTCAATGCAGTATACATTATTTATCCCATCTTTCTCAGTCTCCCCCCAACTCTGAGGTCAGTCCTGTTTTACAACAGTGGCACCATGCAGTATTTGTCCTTTTGTGACTAAAATATTTCACTCAGCATAATGTCCTCCAGGATCATCCATTTTGTATAATAGTTCATGAGTTCCTTGTTTTTCAGTGCAGCATAGTATTTCATTGTGCGAATATACCACAGCTCCTCTCTCCATTTGTTGATGGGCACTTAGCTTGTTTCCGACCCTTTGCTATTGTGAACAAAGCTGCGATAAACATGGGCGTGCATCCTTTTAATTTCTAAAGGGTGAGAAGACACACAGACATGTGTAGTACCTGGTCCCTGCTGAGGAAGAGGCCATGAGGACCATGGTCTGATCTCACTTGGAGAATGTGAACACTGAGGCTGAGAGTGGGAGGTGCTCGTGAGGGACTGTGTCAGTCCTAACCCCTCTACCTTTAGTCATGATCCCGTCGTAAATGCCTTGCCTTTGTGTAAGAGAGTGTGTCCAACAGCCAAAAGAACAAACAAGTCTGTCTTTGATGAAGCACAATCAGGCTACACTTTGAATGGTTGAAAGATGGTTGACATTTTCCCGTGAACTTTGGGCATGTTGTCTGGAGGTTCCAGTCCTGGGAAAAAGACGTTGTGCTGGAAAGGTGGAAGGTCAAAGGGAGAGGAAGAGCCTCAGCTGTGTGAGTTAGCTCGGTGACGGCAACGACGGGCTCGGGTGTGGCGGAGACGGCGGGCACGGTGCTGGAGAGCCTGGGCATGCCGGAGACAGGAGAGCCTGGGCATGCCAGAGACAGGAGAGCCTGGGCATGCCGGAGACAGGAGAGCCTGGGCATGCCGGAGACAGGAGAGCCTGGGCATGCCGGAGACAGGAGAGCCTGGGCA